TAGGGTTACGGGTTGAGGGTTTAGGGTTGATGATATAAAATCCTGCATTACCTCAAGGACCGTAAACTCTGGGAATTATGGTATATTCCTTATGAGGGGCAATGCAGGATTTAGATCATCAACCGTGGGGTTGTCTCAGATTTCGGATTTCTGGGTGGTAAAACCCTAAACACTAACCCCCTAAACCCCGAAACCCTAAACGCTAAACCCCTAAACCCCTAAATCCCTAAACCCTAAACCCTAAACCCCAAAACCCTAAACCCAAAACCCTAGGGGCTTCGGTGTATAGGCTTCCACATCTAAGGGTTGAAGTATGCCTCAGGCATCAAGGAAAGGAGTCGAAATTCATTGGCTTGGGTTCAGGCTTACAGGCTTTAGGATTCAGGGTTTAGGGTTTAGGGCTTTAGGATTTAGGGTTTAGGGTTTCGGGTTTAGGATTTAGGGTTTAGGGCTTTGGGCTTAGGGTTTCGGAATCAGGGTTTAGGGTTTGGGGCTTCGGGCTTAGAGTTTATAGGGTCTAGGGCTATAGGGCCTGTATGGTGGAAAGAATCAGCGCACCATCTCCGGAGCAAACTCTTGACACCAGGCTGGTGTCCGCAAAATCGGAGTACTTGTGGTCGTGGGCAATGCTTGTCCGCCATACCTTAGTTCCGGGTTTAGGGGTTAAGGGGTTTAGGGTTTAGGGCTTGGGGTATTAGGGTTTGGGGTTTAAGGTTTTAGGATTTAGGGCTTAGGGTTTAGTACAGCTTCCGAAGCGTAACAAAGATTAATCCTTTAGCGTACATATAGACCATCATTCCCCAAGCAAGCGTAAAGTTCTGGTGCTCTCCTGGGAAGTGACAGAACCTCAGAACCGCATGATATGGTTGATGGCATAAATCCTGCATTACCCATAGTAAATAAGGAATATACCATAATTCCCATAGTTTAGGGCCCTTACAGTAATTCAGGTTTATATCATCAACCGTACTCTTGTAGAACCCTATAGGGACTCTGATAGAACCCAGAAAGATACCCCAAAAGTAACCAAACCTTGCAAGACCCTTCTATGACCAACGAGCCTTCTAGAAGCTGAGAAGTGTCCCACAAACGATTAACGGTTACAGTCTTAAACATGTTAGGTAGCCATAAATACGCAAACATGTTACCCAACTGTGACAAAAACTCCCTGAAACCATACCAAGGATGGTTTTTCGGGACCTAATTCCATAGTTAATGGTCGTGTATGAAGGGCCTTTGGACACTCTACCAGGCTAGTCCTCTTAATTCGGGTACCTTTTAGGCTCCTTTTTGTAAGGGTGCCGTACTATATTGGGGACCTAGAAAGGGACTCTAATTTAGAGAACTATCCATACTGTTGATGATATAAATCCTGCATTACCTTAAGTAAGGGCTCTAAACTATGGGAATTATGGGTCTATTTCTTATTATGGGGTAATGCAGGATTTATATCATCATCAACCCTAAAGCCTAAACTCCGAAAATCCCTAAAACCCCTAAACCCCTCAAACCCCTCAAACCCCTAAACTCTTATGGAGGGGTTTTGGGTTCCTTTACATCAAAGCCACCTTTGCGCTGCCCACCTTAGCTTCGAAATCTTCCCCTATGAAGGCGTCGGTGAGCAGAATCCAGGAAAATGCAGTTTGCATACCTGGCATCTTGGCATAATTAGGGTTTAGGGTTTCGGGTTTAGGGTTTAGGGCTTAGGGCTTATAGGGTTTTGCGTACCTCAAGGAGGAAATGAACCCTAAAAGGCTTTGGGGTTCATATACCATATAGGGATTCATAGTATAAGGATATAAGGCCCCTACTTTCGAGTCATTTCGTCCTTAAGGTACCTGGTATCTTGGCATTTAGGGGGTTTAGGGCTTATAACGTTTTGCGGTTTAGGGTATACGGGTATAGCAGAGGCTCAAAAAGGTTGGAAACCCAATAGCATCAATCCTTGAGTGATGTATAGGGAATCCCAGGTGTCCGTAATCCGGTTTCCAACTTTTGGGGGTTTAGGGAAGCACCTTGCATACATGGCATCTAGGGTATCCAGGGTTTAGGGTTTGGGGGTGTGCAAAAGTTCAAGATTTACGTCCCTACCCTTTTGAGTGTCATACCCGATAACTAACCTGTAGCATCAAAATAGCTCAAAGGCCTTATGTAATAGGGTCTTTGGTCCCAAAAGCATTAAAATATGAGTCCTTTGAGGGTGAGGGTAAAGGGTCAGAAGCTACTATCTGATGGGCTTTGGGGCTACAGGTAGGGTTGCAGGTTTCCCTTTCGGCAGCAACCCTGGGAGAAACGTAGAAACCTCCGAATCTTGGTTCTAGAATCTTAGTTGCTGAGTTCATCAGCCAAAAAAGTGTACAGTTTCAGTTTATAAGGAGTCATATATTATCCCAACATTTTTAAAGTGGTGTACTCATTCACTATGACGATTTAGGGTCGAAGGTCTAGGGTTAAGGCTTACGGTGCGGGGAAGGGTCTAGATGGGGGGTAAAAAAAGCGAAACAACTCGGTTGAGGGTTCAGGGTTTAAATGTTAGGGTACAACTAGAATGTATTGCTGGATTCCATAGCCAAGATGCCCAAGTTCAGCAAAACCAACATGCTGGCAAACAGTCGGTCGAACCAGCCAACATCCGTCAATCCAGAAACGATCGGAATGCTCCAAACACTGTGCTCGAACTCGACTTCAGAAAACCTGGGCTGGGATATGCAGTAGAGTTCCCTTTCTATACTTATCTAGGTTGGCCCCTCAAAGCCTCTGAAAAATATTCGTAAATAAAATCCTCTTAAGCCCAACAAGGGAAAATATCAAATGTCCCAAAGGCCTACGTAGTTATGTACAAGGCAGTTTCTATACTGCTTGAAGCCTTAAGTGTCCGTTGCAGTTCCTGCACGAATGGCCTCTCAACCATGGACCTATGGGGGTTTCCGACAATAGGGGGACCCTGATGTAGTACCCTAAGAAGTAGGATCCTTATTACGAGGACCCCAAAATTAAGGTGCCCTTTATAGTAGATACTTAGGCCTTAAAGGGGTCCCTATACAGGTACTTTAAGGCCTAAGTATCTACTATGAAGGTACATGGAGCCTTTGCGTTTCAACAAGCTCGAGAAACGTTGTTGTAGTGGAAAAGCGAAACTCATCGAACCTTCGCTTCCAAAATCCATTCTTTGCCTTTCCTGCGGTCTCTGCACCTGAGTTGCCGAGATCAAGAGCCGCAAATGGTTGAACGCTTCAGCCTAAACCCTAAACCCCAAACCCTAAACCCTAAACCCTACTGTGGGTTTGTACTATCGCCAAAAGTTCAAAGTATGCTACATCGGCAACCAAGCCACCAGTCACACCCGGAATGGCGGCTTTGAAGGCATCGCTTACCTCCAAAACCTGAAACTACCCAGAGACTCCAATATCCCTTAATGAAGGAATATACTCTAAATCTTATTCAGGTTCCTCTTCTAAGTTTAAGGTATATTCCTTAATTAAGGGATATTGGAGTCTCTGGGTATGGCTGGGATAGAAGCCTAAGGTTTGGAATGTCGAGTTCGCAGGTTAGGGCATAGGGCGCAGGATTTGGGGGTAAGTTTAGGGGGTTGAGAGTGCAGGATATATGGTCTGGGTGTCGTGGGATTTTGGGGCTTGTATGTAACGATTCTGGGAGTTAGGATTAGGGGACCCTTGGGGACGTAGACCCTCTCAATAACGTCCCTTTTAAGAGAGCCATAAGTAGGGTTAAGAAGGGTCCCCTTTAAGGGGTCTCCCTAATACTGCCTAGGAGATTCTGAAGCCATGAACAAGAGTAAGAACGAAGTCATGTTCCATGCCAGACTGCCTCCTCTCAGAAGGCCAGGAATGTCATAAAGTAGCAGAGAGAAACAACCAAAGCAAAAGCACACAGCCTATCCTAAGAGGTGTGGTGCTTTGCCGTAATCTCTCGAAACATCGTAAAATCACGGGGCAAAGGTGGTAGGCTAAGATGAGTACTAATTACCAACAATGCCCAAAACCCTAACCATAAAGAGCAATAGCTACGGTTGCCAGCCTGGACACAGAGTATTCGAGAAGCTTACGACATCCGAGTGAAGCCCGTGCAAACCGTTACAAGACACATGTCCTTGTAATGCTCGAAAAGGCCGTGTAAACAACTGATACCTTTAGCATCAAAATAGCCCA